ACGCTACCCTCTTTCTATACACCTCCTGCATTCGGCTATCTACTCGCCAGGTTTTCCCGTTTGCATCTTCCTCCTCCTCGCTGACATTCTCTTCATCCTCCTTCATTTGTTTAATCCTCTCCTACTCCTCCTTCTCTGTCATTCCCCTGCACATCTGAGCTTGGTCTTCCTCCTCACTCTGCTTTGTCTGCTGAAGTGCTGGGGTTGCAGATTGCTACTGGTGGGCACCTTCGCTTTAGCGTGAGATAATAACCACATGACAAATAATACAAGTGTTTTAAAAACAAAGGGAGATAAAAGAGAAGACAGAGAAAAGCACACGGGGCAGGCAGAGCAGTCATGCTCCATTTTGCATTTAGGCAAAATGTGGCCACAATAAAGAATTCAACAAAGTAACTGAATAATTACACCTGACTTAATGCACAGCAGAAAGTTAGAGAGCTTGTTGATTAAAAAGAAAAAAGGGATTCAGGCTGCTTCTATCCAGGTAGTGTCATACCTTCCTTGCCTGAGCTAAATATAGACTGTGTACACCTGAAATGCCCAGGGTTTTGCATTTTATATATAGCACTCTGCCTGGCATGTGTGACAGTAGCTCCACCACATTCTGTGCCTCAAAACCCAGTGGATTAAAGGAAGCCAGAAACACAAGGCTGGATGATACATATCCTTTATTTCCATTTCATTGCTTCAGCCACACTGTTACTTACACATTCGCTGACATCCTCTGACCTGGTACAGCTGTCCTGACTGAAACAATCACCCCAACTGACCCCGCCCCCCCTCCCCCCCTCTCAAATTCTCAGCAGTAACCAATAAAAAAGTAAACCTCTTGAATAAATTCTATATAAAAACAAGTGGAAATCAAAAAGAATACCAATTGGAGAAAGATAAATACAGCATAAACAATGTTATTTCATCATTGTTGTTTCTGACCACAGCGATAAACAAATGCTAGTTCTCCATTTAGTTGATATTAGTAGTATTAGTATCAAGTTCATTGTCAGATTTTGCTTAAAGCATCTCTTATATAATTTTTAATTGCATCATGTTGACATCATTCATGTTAATATAAGCATGCAAACATGTTTCCCCCATGTCCATTCAGAACTGCACTAACATGAGAAGACAGCAAGAGAGAGAGAGAGAGAAAGGAGAGAGAGAAGAGAGAGGAGGGAAAGGGGGTGTCGTACACAGATAGAAAGAAGGAAAGAGGACAAGATGGAGGGATGTGAGATAGCTGAGGGAGAACAGAGGTGGGGGGAGGGGGGAAAGAGAGAAAGA